TTCCCCGTCTTCATAAGGTTTCTTTTTTTGTGCAATTATTTGGGACACACGGTACGATGCTTCAGTTGCAGCCTTATTTTTGTCGACTGTTCTTAAAAATATTGATTGTTGTCCAATTAACTGCTTTTTTAACTGTTTCAGTTTCTCCTTTCTAGCGGCAGAATCTAGTGGGAATGATTTTTCAAAATTAGAATGTACAGTTTTATGATGTCTCTCAATATTTCCTTTTTTAGCAACGGAGACCGAAGTATTACATAACAAACACACATTTTTATCTTTAACTTCTGTAAAAAAGTATTGTTCTTCCCATTCTGAATGAAAGTGGTGTCTTTACCTTCTTTCAACTGCTTGCCATAATATTTTTTGTTGTTCTCTACTAACCCAACCGCAGGACGTTGGTTACGCGTTTAGTTTTAAACTAAGCGCAATGTCGCCGCGCCGTGCGTATTTATCCCGTTCAAAGCAATCCTGATCGTTCTGGAACACTAACGCGCTGGTCCGGCTGGTCGGTTCTAGCCGATTCTAGCTTGATGGCGTCAGCTACAGATCGCTCACCGCAACGTTGCCGCTGTTTATGTTTAATATTATGACAATTAGATTTTTTTGTGGAATTTTCGGAAGCTTCTCTGATTTTTGCAGTTTGTATTTTTTAAATTAAAATCGTTGTGAGAGCTACCAGAATTGCCTCCACGAGCTACCGATAGCTCGCGATGGACAGGTTGGCGACCACTGACTCAGACAATCATACATACGATACCAAAGGTAAAAATCAGCTAATCCAAACGAGAACTAGAATAAACAAGTCCCGAATAATCTGCATTTCATTCTATAATGCACTTCCGCCTCACATCCGTAATCTACCAGGAAAAAGTTTAAACATCAAATTAAAAAGATATTACTGGACATGTGTCTATATAACACTAACGATTATTTTGTAAGAGTGAAACATGTCACCTAATATTTTTAATATTGTATTCTTTTATATATTTTTTATTACTATTACCAACCATGATCTTTAAAATCCTATTTTATTTTAAATTGTATAAGAGTATGCTGTATGTTAATGTAAAATGTGGTGTATTTTACCATTTATGTGTACTGACGACTATGTAAACATGTTTATATATGTATTACTGAGAATAAAATATTTCTATTTCTATATTTCCATTATATACTAAAAAATGGTTACATTTTACCGGGAAAATTTTAGAATTCGTGGTTTTTGTACTTTTGTTAAAATGGAATATATTCTAACAAATAAATGACCTTATATATTTTGAAGCTTAGAGGTAAATATATTTAAGTTGTATTACCTTTCCCAAAAAACCAATTAATATGTACCTACAGGGTTATGAATTAATCCTTGAAAAAAATAATTTTATGTTGTGGTTCTCTCTATAAAACACCTTGTATAAGAAATGTGTATTGTATAATCTTTAATTTTTTAAAAATATGCTTCCCTGACGACATAGTAAAATTAATTATACATTGTGAATCACTCTGTAACTAAAAATATTTTTATAGGTACTAATGTAATTATAAAACATATGGGGGTCTATTCTGTAACAATTCCTTTATATTTAACGGCCTTTAAAAATATTTTCTTCTGTCATTATTTAAACGGATCTTTAAAATACATTAGAGGACTATCTTAAAGAAATCTGTTTAAATAATGACATAAGTAAATTACGAATACAAACATATTTTTAAAGGCCGCCAATATTTTTAAAGGCCGTTAAATATAAAGGAATTGTTACAGAATAGACCCCATAGAGGGTTATGATTGACAACCTGTGTTATTTTTAACAGGTATGTTATTTTATAAACACACAGAAATAACAACCTGTTCACAAATAACGTGTCTGTTAAAAATAACATTACTTGTCCATCATATCACCTATAGTAAACGTGTGTATGCAACAGAAATTAAATTTAGCTCATAATAATTTTGAAAATACAAATTTCAAAAGCAATTTTCAACTTTTACACCCTGTATATCGAAAACCAGTCGTAGGATTGAGTTTGGTTACTAGGTTAAGTACAATAACATACCAAAGTTTCAGAAAATTTAAGCGGTCGTCACTTTACATAAGGAAAGTGCGGGAATCCTTCGGGTAATGGATGTGTAAGTTTCAAACCTACAGATGAAATGAAATTCACGATATCTTTAAAAATGAATAGACAAAAACAATCGAAAGATCAAAATCAGAAAGGATTACAAGAAAAAATTATTTTTGAAACAAGAAAAGGTTAAGTGTTATTTTTTTTATATGTTTATTCATTAAAATTATTATCAAATTACCCCAACATTAACCCCATAAATTCTTACAATTAACCAGCCTTCGATAATGTTACACTAGTAAGGTCAGTTTGTACGATAAAATCATGAAAAAAAAAACGATAATTTCTACATCATGGTACAATTTGATTTTGGTTATCTGGCAACACTGGTGATGGAACACTCGTGTAGGAGCACTCTCCTGAGCTTGAGAATAGGGTACCAGACATTAGCTCTAGGATCGGACTTTAATTTAATGTTAAGATTTACTTTATAATTATGTTTGTAAATATTTTATAAAATATAATAGCTATTACTTCTGATAAAATATATTTTATAGTCTAATGCCGGCTTAAATATAACATTGAAATTCGAAAAGAATAAGATATCATTCCACATGGACTACTTTGACACATAAACGATTTGCCTTCCATCCAATAAAAATGCAAGACATTCAACCAAACGATATTATAATTGGAAATTAGAGCAAACGTGAACTAAATAAAACGCTACAACCAGTGCGTGAAAACCAATAGAAAAACCATGAACGGTATATATGAAATACGAAAATAAATAAGTGATTAAAATTTGCATGTTTATTTGAATTTGTTCTATTGTATTCTATATTGCGGATAGCTGTTAATTTTTGGATTTTCGGTACCCAGACAACTGCACCGTATGTTAGCATAGGTCTTATGATAGCCATGTAAGTCAATGTGACGACTGTGGGGGGAGAAACCGCAGGTGCGCCTCACGGTTCAGTGGAATTGTTTATAAGTAATGTATGCTCTTTTGAAGTGTGAATTCCATGTTAACTTGTTATCAAAGGTGCTCCCAGGTACTTCACCTTTGTTGCAAAGTTTTGTTTCGTATTTAGGTTTAGGTTTTAATTCCATTTTCATCCTTTTCCTTGTGATAAGAATTATTTATGTCTTCTTGGGATTGATACAGTGAATGGTCTTTGCACCACTGTTCCATAATTGTTCTCAAAATTCCCAATTTGTAGAATGACTAGGTAATCTGCTTTCGCTATTGTGTATTATTGTACCTACAGTACTTATTTCGTTATTAAAATAATCTATTTGACATAATGAACATAGTACGAATTGTCTGTCTATCATTGTTACTTTAGTATGTGTTTAATTCTTATGAACCAAACGACAAAAACTAATTAATTTTCATACGTTTCCCAGTGTATTAAGTTCCCTTGCTTTGGTACATACGAAAACTCATTCAGTTTCGCTTCTTGGGTAGGTATTCTTTGCTTTTGTGAATATCCAATATATCCACAGGATATCAGAAATATTCCGTGGATCTAATATGGATATCCAAATATTCGTCTATATCCAGAATATAGAAGATATGCTAATGGATATTCAGTAAAATATCTAATGGGTATCTTCCAGAAAATATAAGAAATCCCAGAGATATCCACAGAATATATTTTGTGGATATTCAATATATCCAATATGGATATCCAACCAAATGTCCGTGTATATCCCAGGATATAGAAGATATTCGGATATTCAGCAAAATATTTTATGGGTATCTTTAGTAGAGGTTCATAAGTAACCAATGATTATTGAATAACGACAAAAAGAAAATAGCAGAGATAAAAAATATTTTCAACACTCTGCCTTTGATTTTGCCCACTAAGGAGAACGTCATCCTTATTACGGCTCTTCAGCAATAAATGGAAATTCTCGACTCCAGTCTCTAATGGAGTCTGTAGGACAAAAATTTCGATCGAACTCTATTACGGCGGGTCAAGCATGAGTAGATGCGATAGTAGTATCACCATCTATACTTAGTAAGCAGAATCAAATAACATCTAGTGGATATCCACGATGGTTTGCGTTCGCGTCTAGACTTTGATATATTTAGTGGATATTCATGGGATATTGAATACACCTTAAAAAAATTAATTTTAAATATCTGAACGGTACTATTAGCCACAATGGCGAGCACAATGGCGTTATTTTTTAATAATTTGCTATATAATTACTATTATTTATGGACATTTGCATGTCTATAAATTACATTTCATGGATATAAAATAGATATCTACCATGGACTGGACATTCGGTGGATATTGGGATGTTCAGTAGATATCCAAAGGATTTGGTGTGCTGTCTGGGTATTATATCCATAAATTAGATTTAGTGGATATCCACCATGGTTTGCGTTCGGGCCTAGACTTTGATATATTTAGTGGATATCCATGGGATATTGAATACACCTTAAAAAATTCTACAAATATCTAAACGGTACTATTAGCCACAATGGCGCAATTTTTTAATAATTTGCTATATAATTACTATTATTTATGGACATTTGCATATATAAATTACATCTCATGGATATAAAATAAATATCCACCATGGACTGGACATTCAGTGGATATTGGGATGTCCAGTAAATATCTAAAAGATTTGGTGTGCTGTCTGGGTACTAATGATTACCATTAACTCCAAGCGGTTAACACGATTTTTTTTCGTTTTCCCCCCTCCCCTAGCTCCGAAACGGCCGTCCGCCACGCATATAGTATAGAAGAAAATTTTTCAAATTTACTATAGAGCTCAAATACCACGAGTCAGACGGTTAACATGACTTTTTTATCGTAAGCGCTATTTCCTAAACTATTTAAACACTGTTAAAATAATCAAATCGAAGTTGGATAGTAAATGGTTTCAATTCGAATCAAATATACATTAACACTTACTTTTGGGGTAATTTATCTTTTTCAGCAGCGATAGTAACAGCGGCTCCGACGAGACAAGCGCACGTCGCACCATATCCTGGATTTCTACCGTTAACTCTGGCAACAATGCTCTTATTCGGCGGTGTTGAATATTGGTCGTTCTTGTTCGCCAATTTTTGGTCCCAACCTTCACCATAAAACGTTATTCGGAACAAGGTTTTGGCTATTTTTTCTTCAGAAGGATTCTGGTCCTTCCTGAACAAGCCGGCAGTGAATATGTGGGGATACTACAAAATGTTTTAGAATGTACAGGACTTTATATGCACATATTTAAGAAATAAAAACTCACATTTAGTAGCAAATCTCTGCCGAATTTGAATTTGACCAATAACGACCATAGCAGGAAACTAAAAATCATAGCAATCACCAAGAAAAAACTTTTGAAGACCACTTGCGTATCCACTTGGACAGGTCGTTTATTCTCGTTTTCATACATATATCTTTGACTTCTTTTCATCACGGAGTGATCGGCACCGGGAAACGGCAAAGCCCAACCTCCTACTACACAAGGACGGTGTGGCAAAGTTCTAAAAGTAACGTGAAACTGTTAATAGTCTATAGGAAGAAAGGGCTCATGAGTATTCGGAAGCATTTTCCTTGTTAGAATCCTTATATTACGATTTTGACGAATTTTATGTTTATTTATTTATTAAATACACTATTCTACAAGTAAAGTATAATTTATAACCACCGTAACGTAACTTAACGCCGTAGAAACTTAACCTAAGATATAAAAATAAAATCTATTTATAAATGTCCGTAACGTAAGAGTTGAGCATGCGTGTTGATTTCAGAGATTATCAAATTACTCACAAGCTTATGAAATAAATAAGTGTAAACTGTGTACCTAACCTCTAAATAAAACTTATAAATTATTATTTTGCTATATAGAAAGAATATATTAACTACTTTAAAGGTACCATTGCGGTAAGCGCGACAGACGACCGCCGACGCTTCACATCTAAAATACATACAATTATATGAAACACATTTCGCACGGCGCGACACGAGAGTGTCGTCAAGACGACATTGACGACACTTCTGAATCTGTCTCGGGGCAAAGGTTTGCTGCGTGTCGCACTCGAGCTTCGCTTCATTTTGAAGGTGATAGGTTGAAAAGCGCTATCATTCATTTAAAATCTCTTTATTAAAAATTAGGTTATATCTACAAGTCATTTTAATAGGTATAAACAATAAAAGATGTAATCCTCACTCGCGATACGCGAGCGGAACTATCTTCACCGCCCGGCTGCCTGAACTTGACGTCCTAGCCCGAAATGCCTATGTCCAATTTATAGTTAATGTAATATATACGTGCCATCTCCTTATCTCGCGATATTATATGGCAATATTGGCGAGTTTGCTAATCGATAATTGAGTTTATGATAGTTTTTGTGGGGAATTTAATTGTGATTGTCTTCCCTGGGAAAAACTTTGAAAAACCAGGGTTGTCCTTGTTTGTATGTGTGTCATTTGTATAGTCTATGTCTGTGTTTAACTATTTTACTCGACTACACGATGAGAACCATCTCCAGCAGGGGGATCGCGGCAAGCATCGATTTCTTACTTTACTTTTAAAATCCTTTATTCAATGTTTAAAAAATTATTTACATACAACACAAGCTTCAACATTTGAAGTTACATCAATATAAAATAAAATATAATATATGATCCTCTTCTGATCCGGCCACCGGATTGGCTGATGTTCCGTTCTATTGCAACTTGGTAGTTTCCTCGTTCTGAATGCATTGCTTACTCCTTATCCAGGTTGGATATTATTAAGCAGTTTTGATATGTTAAGCTGTACGCAGTGAGTGATTTGTCAAGGTGTTATGTTGGAATTTAATTTTGTCTGATTTTTCCCTGAAAAAGTTGTGAAAAAACAGAGTTCTGAAGCGTGATTGTGTGTTTGTTCGTTATAGTTTTTGGTTGTTTGTATGCATTACCCACAGACTCCTCGAATTGCGGCCGTTCATAGGTACGGGGTTTCAGCCAATGGTTGAACTCCCAGCTCTATGCCCCGCCCACCCTTCGATATAGTCAGACGCCTTATGAATTTTGAGTTCAGTCGGCTTTGGGTAGTGCAAGGTAATCATGCATGCTCTGATTGTCGTGTTATTGTACTTTATTTTTGTATTGTCTCAACGGTTGTATATTGTTAAGTTTTCATGGAGCCAAACATGCTTCCTGCTGTGGCTGTTTGTATGTGTGATTTGGTTTATGTCTTCCTTAAGCCGTGGAGGGAGACAATTTTTGTAGAATTTCTCTGATAATTGTAAGATGAATTGTTTAACAGGAAGTATGTTTGTTCTCTCATGAAGTTCTGTAATTCTGGTGTCCCTTGCACTTCCAAGGATAAGCCTCAGACACCTGTTTTGTGTGCGTTGCAATTTTTTGAAATGTGATTCTGCCATGGAGCAGAAGACTGGACATCCATATGTCAGTATCGGCCGGAGAATTTGTTTATAAAGCAACTGTTTGTTTTTTTGTGACACTTTACTGTTGCGCGCTAACATGGGATATAATGTTCGTATCATGCCCGTTGTTTTGGCGATACGATCATTAATATGCTTTCTGAACGTTAGTCTCCTATCCAGGTGAAAACCTAAATATTTTAGACTGCCCTTGACCGGTATGGATTGACCTTGAACTTTAAGGTTGCTTATGATGCCTTCTGATTTGCGTTGGGACAATAGAGCGTTTTCTGTTTTTTGGGGGTTTATTTTCATTTTGTTTTCACCCAGATAGGGGAGTAACGTTCTGTTGATATGGATGTCCAATCTTCTTGTGGCTATTTCTGCGGATGTGGAGGTTTTATACACACAGGTATCGTCGGCGTACAGTGCCGTCTGTACACCATTATGACCCATCGGCGTGTCATGTGTCATAATCGTGTACAGATGCGGCGAGAGTACTGACCCTTGGGGTACTCCGGCAACAGCTGTAAAAGGTCCTGTCCTAAGGTTTTGTATTTTTAAGTAGAATTTCCTGTCATTCAGATATTAGTAGATTATTTTTATAATGTGCCCAGGATAGTTGTTCACAATCATTTTGTATATTAGTCCGCAGGTCCAGACCGTATCAAACGCTTTTTCAGTGTCTAGGGCCACGAGTACTGTTTGTTTTTTATTATTAAATGCTATTTTGGCTTGATGAGCTATATTAATGATTTGAGCAACAGTACTGTGACCTTGTCTGAATCCGTACTGTTCCTGCGAAATAATGTTGTTGTCATTAGCAATGTTTTGTAGTCGCGTAAGAATAACCCGGTCTATGATTTTTGAAATACCGTTAAGTAATGAGATCGGTCTGTAGCTCTCAATGAGTTTGGGGTTTTTCTTGGGTTTTACAATTGGGATAATATCCGCGATTTTTAGCGATGTTGGATAGTGTTGTAGTTTTATTATTCCATTTGTTAAGTGATGTAATTGCACTATTGCTTTTTTCGAAAGATTTTTTAGTAGAATATTACTGATACCATCGGGACCGGGGGCCTTCTTTCTGGTTAACCCACACAGTATGTCGAATATTTCTTTTGGGGAGGTAAGATCCCCTTGGCTGATAGCCATAGGTGTTGGATTGTTGTATCTGTTTTTCTAGGTTTTCTATTCGAAGTTGTTCTGGGTTATTTGTTGAGATATTTGTGAAATTCCTCTGAAAGTACTCGCCGAGTGCTTGCCCTTTTTCGTCGTTTGTTGCGAATTTGTCTTGTCCTGTTTCGAGTGTGGGGAGTTGTGCGTATGGTTTTTTAAAATGTTTAGCTATTTTCCATATCGAATTGTCTTGGGGGTTGACCGCTTCAAGGGTTTCATGCCACTTTTTGTTCTTTTCTTGTTGTATTAAATGATTAATGACGTGTGTTATGTCGTGTAGCATGTCCCTATCCACGGCTTGTCTGTGTGTTTGCCATCGCCGCCTTATGTTGTTTTTTGTTCGTATTAGGTCGTGTATTTCGTCTGTTATGTGTTCTGTGTACTGTTTCCTAGTCACAAGCACTGCAGTCTGATTTCTAGCATTTATGATGCATTGCGTGAAGTTCTTTATTTCGGTCTCTAGTTCCTGTATTGTGCTTATGACTTGGATACGTAGTAGATTGTCCAGTTTACGTCTAAATTCGGTCCAGTCTGTCTTGGAGTAATCGTAAAATTTGCTTAGTTGCCTATGGGCTTTGTTATTGGTTTTTATCTCCAAGTAGACTGGATCGTGGTCTGAGTTTAAGGCGGGGATGGTTCTAATGTCCGTAACGTTGTTTATGTTTTTTGTTACCGCTATGTCCAAGGTACTGGGTGTGTGGTGAGGGATGAAAGGGAAGTGGGTAGGATCGTCCGTGTAGTGTATGTTCAGGTCATTCAGCTCGGCGAATTCTTTCAGAGTTTTTCCGTTTTTATTATGGCGTATGCAATTTGCATCCCATTCGGGGTGCTTACTGTTTAGGTATCCCATCAAGACGACCCTCTGACATCAGGCTGTTTATTTCTGCTGTTGTGAATCTGTTTTTCGGACTGTTGTATGCTCCCACAAAGATTATATTACCTACCTGAATTATTAGACTTTCCAGAGTTGTGTTTATATTTCTTAAATGTTTGAATTTAATATTTTTGTTTATAAAGAAAGCAACCCCACCATCTCCCGAGTTATCTTGTCTTGGTTGATTTATTACTGTGTATCCGTTTATTCTAAATGTTTCGTTATCCCTAATTCTAGTTTCTGAAATAAATACGATGTCGAATTTATGATTGTGAACAAAATTGCAAACAAGGTTTTTCTTGTTATGCAACCCGTTCGCATTATAGAAACATATCTTGTATTTGTCTGTACATGTCTCGCCAAGTTCAGTTCCTGAATTTGTAATTATTGATGTTATCGTAGAACGATTGATACGTCATATAGATTTCTAAATTGGTGAGACATGTACGTAGTTTGTTATTTAAATCTCTCACTGCTCTTGTTAGTTCAGATAAATTAACCAACCTGTGTAATTCGTTAAGCTCTGCATTCAGAGCTTGGAAGTCATCTTGGTTTCCATTTTGGTATGAAGGGGTGGGATTAGGACGCGGTATTTGTTGGGTGGGGATTGATTGTTCGTTTCTACTGGAATGGCCTCTGTTTCGCAGCTCCGGAAATTCTTCTCTGTCTGGTACTTGTCGCTTTTTATTTTCCCAAGCATTTACTTTGGGTGCTGGAGCTTGGACATATTTGATGGGGTTTGATTTGCTCCTTTTTTCTTCCAACCTTTCAATTCTATCTAAGTAGGCTTGACATTTGCTATAGTTAGCCGGGTGTTCACCTTCACAGTTTGCACATTTTGCAGCAGTTTCCCTTGATTTTAGACAGGTTCTTGTTAGGTGTTCACCTGCGCACTTAAGGCAGCGCGGTGGCCTCCCACAGTTTGTTGTAGCATGTCCCCATCTTTGGCAGTTTCTGCACTGGATTATCTGTTGCACGCTTCTGCGCAGTTCCCAGGTTATGCATGTATATAGGACTCTTCTTATATTTTTGTTAAGATAATCCAGTGTCAGAGAGGGGT